TCAGAGCATTTGATCAACTGTTCAACTGACAGACTGTTGCGTAAATATTTATATAAACTATACATCTTTATATGGATGATGGTTCCTGATAATTTACTTAAATATTTAATAGTATTAGAAATAAATGTACATATTTACTGTAGTCCATATTTATAATGGAGAAGCACTAGATATGATTCTAGCGGTACTGTTATATCCATAGTACTATTGCATATACTTGAAAACAGGAAATATAACAATTCCCACAACGTGAAGTAAAAGTATAAAGATTCGTGCAAATGAACATTTACTGACTATCGAAAAACACAACATTAAACCAAATGCACTCATTTATATATTGATTTTATACAAAACTGATCATTAATTGATAAACATCATATAAATGGGGAAATAAGTTTATTATAAAACAAGCACAAAATTTACACGGAATAATATCAAGAACATGATCATTACATTAGAAGGAAGTTCGCACTGAACATAATATACACTTAATTAGTGCGAAACATATTGACTTGAAATAATGTTACACTGGGAAATATAAACTTAATACGGTAATGAATAAAATGTTACACAGAGGATGAAACTAATGTCACACTAATGATAAAATAGTTTTATACTAATTAAAGTGCTACGTTGAGAATAAAGCAATATCAAAATGTCACACAGAATAAAAATTACTTTCACGAAATGATATATTGGGTTAGAGAAAAGTGCTAACTATGTTGATCAATATCCATGGATATTAATTGAAACCCATTTTCGGCTATTATCAAAAATTAGTATCCAGCTCTAGAAATGAAGAGCCATCCGGAAAGGGAACTGGGCACTAAAACATCTCATTTTCAGATGTAGATATGTACGAAATACTCAATACGAAACTACGCATAGTAAGAAGCAATAGAAAACACTAATACAACTATCATTTTAAGTCATTCATCAATTAAGGTATTAAGATCTACCAAGCTTTAATCTTATTCGTGGTATCACCGATCCTATAAAAAGATTTCATGTGAATAGAATATTTAAAAAAGTCTAGACTCTTTCTATTTCTATATTTTTCATATTCATATTGATTAATTGAGTCATACTCACAGGGATACAGGAGAAAACAGTCAGTAGAACTCATAAGTTTCTATACTGGCCAGACCAGAATACTCAAATATAAATTAGAACTAGCGAGTTAGTAACCCTTTATAATATATTACCTTTATCAGCGCTTTCTGTCTTTTTCAGTAAATACCTGATCCCAATTTTTTCTCATATTACTCTACATCATAATGAAAGGAATTCTCATATTTATATGCAACCAATAGCCTAGTGTTCTGTATCGTGTGGCCGAGTGAGGTTTACAAGAACCAAAGTACCACCGCAAAGCTTTGCGAACTAATATCGAGACAGAAAAACTGGTCGGTTAGCGAACTGATATACTACCCATTTCTATAGTAGCTGACCACCTTTCACCGCAGTTGAAACCATCAACAGCAGGTGCATGTCAATAGGGATATTTAGAGAAATAGTGACAAGTAAAGACAGTTCTGAAAATGTCATGAGTCATTTATAAGTATCCCTCTAAGGCATTTGGTGGTTTAATCGCTGAACGATATTCAACACCTGTCAAGGGATTCTGATGAAAGCTCGCTAGCAACTTTAACTCGATCAGTAGTGTTCGAGTAAAGTGTATTTACAATGTTTTGTAATTTGTTTTTCAGTGACACAGTTATAAGACACTTGACCAACGGAGTTCAGTCTGCCTTCAAGTCAAGAAATACTACTACTGTAGTGTGTCAGTAGCTATGTTTAAGTTCAAGAACCTGATAATAGAGGTGTTACAGGAGTAATTATGACAAGAGATTCATGAGAATTAAGTGTAAATTAATAATGCGGTGAAATAGACAAGTAACGAAAGGAACTGGAGGACACAATCTATTAGTAGAGCCAACCTTCCCTACATAGCAGATAGCGAACAAGATATTATAAAGCTCCCGCGGTTATATATCAAATCCCAATCAATCTACCGCTATCATCATACATCGTATTGTTATCATCATTATGATCTCAATTACCTAAACGAAATTTCTACCATACACTTAATTCAAATGAGTTGTTTTGTTACACTGATTGCAACTCGACATCTGACAACAAATTTTTCTACCGTTTTTAAGCGATCCTACCAATCTAAAGTTGATGCATTTTCAAATGCTTAAGCCGTAACAGATGCGGAACTACATCACATTTTTAAACAAAACGTTGTCTAGTTTACTAGCACAATTAATCTTGGTCACTTTAATAAAATAAATATAGACCTATAATAATTTTTTGTTCCAATTTTCATTCTTTGAATATTCTATGCGAATTTTAAGGTTCCAATCGGAAATAATTGACGCATTATAAATGACCTTTTTAGAATGGCAAAATAAACTAAGATTCAATTAAACTCATTCTTAAAATACAGAATCCCCAGGAGTTAGCTTAGGAAGAGATGAGACTTTCTAACAAATAATGCGCGACTAATTAATGAGAATAACGCAACTGGATTTACATGATTTATAAATCAACTTTGTATTATATCTCATATTGATAATCAGTTGTTCGGAAAAATGACATCTCGTAAAAGTATGTTAGAAAAGAAAAGCATAAATCAAAGGAAAAGTGAACTTGTTTTAGGATGGCAAGGATAGTAGTAAAATCACTGTTGGTTTTTTTTCATTTCAGTCTTTATTACCAGTACAATAGTTTGATAAATCATCAATAGTAGGTGGTAATCATGAATCTTAGTAAATATGAGAGCATAACTGACAAGAGAATAAGCCTCAATATGTGGATAGATAACAACTCTTTAATTGGACTTTAAAGAGTGGATAGTGAGATGTGTAGTTTTGAACATGAAATCGATGTATTGAGTGTCAACTTTGAGAGGAACCAAAATAAAATGAGGAAAACAATAGCGAATAATAACTTTGACAAGGATAACTCAGAATAAAGCTGTTCACCAAAAAAGAGGAAACTAATGACTTTACAAAACGAAATAAATCGAAAACATAAACAGGTATATGAGAATGACAGAAATTTAATGTCCATAAGAGCCAACAGCAATAACAAAAAATTTCAGCTCCACACTTCACAAACTTCCCTTGAATTGATTTGTGATAAATATATAAACAAAATAGATGAATATAAAGGACTTGGTGAAGCACTATCACAAAAAGCTTCACGTATGCACACGGAAGTGGCTGTGAAAAGTCTGTGTTCGAAGTAATTTACCAAGAATTGAAGGATTTCTCCAGCAGTCAATATTCTGATGAAAACTCAACGAATCCATGTAACTTATTTTAACAATTTACTGGCTTGTTCATTAGCCTTTTTAATTCGTTCAGCATTTGACTTAGCCTAAAATAAAACGCATCACAGTAAATTTTAGACAAATAAAAAACAAACTTAATATCAGTGGACAAAATGAGTGGACCAAGTATCCGGTCTTGAGATTACTCGAAAAAAGTACGAAACTAGCAGTTGTGGTTAGGGAATAATGCACGCCATGTTGTAACGACAGATGGACAGTCACATAAACCCTTTATTTAAAAAATGGAAATGACTTTTTGATGGGTAGCAATGATTTATTTGACAAATTTGCAGAAAGTGAGACAAGATTTCGGAATGTATCAATTTTATGGGACATGAAAAAAATAAGAGTAAACTAATGGAAATAAATTATTCACCTTTAAAGGTGAGTTGTGAATACTACATTTATTAACACAAAGATTAGAAAACACTTTACAGCTTAGTGAGTGAAAAGTTCATATGCTTTTAGAATGCAGATAAGTCCAGATGGTGTGCAATAATAGTCACTGATTCGATAAAGCACTTAGCTTTGAAATACTGTCTTTAATTACATTTAGCATAAACTAATAGTAGAGGGAAGATCAACCACGTGAAAAATCGTATTCGATAAACACGACACAACTTACGCACTATCCCAAAGTAGGTGACACTGTCTAGCTCCACAAACCTTTACAGCTGCAATTTTCCACGCTTACAACTGCTGGTATTTTGGAAACAGCTGAAAAAAGTGTGCCAACTGAGGTTGGCTGCTGGAGAAAAGGTATTTTTACAACCACAAACATTCTATCCGAATCACACTATTAGAACTACTTTTACAAGTAGGTTTCAACCTTTTGTGATAGACTGCTGGTGATAGTCAAGATGGATGTTCGTCTAAATAGTTATGACCCGATAGTCAAGTGGCAAAAAATATCGATCTAGACACTGATACCGAAAGTGATTTATGCCCCACTACCATCCTTGGTCCCATTGCAAAGTTAATCTTGTAAGAATCTACTACGTGTATAACGTGTCAGGTCGAAGTTTTCGTATGACTGCAAAACCTAGCCACTCTGAATTAGGAATTTTGTCATTGTCTCTGAAAGACTCTTTAATTACAGTGAAAATAGTGTGGATAATATCAGCACGATACACCTGAGAAATTAAAATCTACTAAAAATAAATATTTTGGAACGATAGCTTTAGCGACTTCATGTTTTTACGCTTTTAGTCACAAACTCCTGTATGACACTTTGATTCATGAGCTCAGGTAAAATAAGCAAGTGAACCCTTTATCTTATGGTGATGTGGAGTGAATGATAGTAACGTTAGATTAGTATTGAACAATTTATGACTAAAGAGACTGGAGGTAACCTAACCTATTGATTTGAGACATCCAGAATGCAAGATAATAGTATTTAATTTATTTCAAAAAATGAGTAACACTTAATAAATACTCTCTAACTATCTAGAATATTCATAAACAACAAATGAGTAAGATTTAGTTTTGTTCTTACTTTAACAGTATCCTTTATCGTCTACGTTTTCGTTATCACCTATTCCCTTATTACACTGCCATTTTTGTTTTGCGTGGCACACTTCCTTAAAGACATTCTACTAAGCACTTGAGTTGTAAATAAGTACTGTAAGGCTAAGAATTCATAGTTTAGTCTTCAGAAGTCGGGTGCTACATCTCTACGACAACTTGAATCTTGACGTTATGGATCACAGAAGCAACTTCAAAAGGGCAACCAATCTCTTACACAGACCCATAAAATAGTTGAAGAAATCTTTTGGATGAGAAAATAACAAGACTACGTACCTTGATCTGTATTCGCTCAACCTGAACATTTTGCTGATTAATTTCACTACCCATGTCAATAGCCATGTTACGAAGATTTCCGATCATACCAGAAACCTCCTGCAAATTTTGGTCCATTTCATCTTCTCGTGCATCATTTGTAATTCTAAAATGGGCAAAAACAGACTTCAGGAGACCTGGAGTGATATAAAAGACTTAAAGTTGCTTTAGACCATAATATTGACACCAAAGCAATGCCAATTTTATAACGCATTTTATTGGATTGACAGAGCATCTTACGTAAATCCATGCATGCTTAAAAGGCTCGATATATTGTTAATCACTTAAATCAAAAATAAAATCCATAAACTTGACCACTGAAAGTCTTAATCGATAGCACCAGTAAGCCCCGGTGGTCAAGGGTATGTATGAAACTTTGTATAACTCACGTAAAACTTGGACAACCGCAACATAATATAAGAGTTTACTGAATACAAAATGTTGCCCAACGAAGCTATGGGACATTGGCTAATGAAACAACCGGCAATCATACACAGTAATCATTCTTTTCAATAGTTTCAATGACTGGTGTCCATTTCAGTCCGATTACTTCAATTTTTTTCGATTACGATCAAATCACCTTGTTGACTGAGAAAACAGAAAAGCATCCATAATGACCTAAGTTTTTCTCAAGTACGGCTACAGGAATTATCAATTACTTAACTAGTAACACTACTAAGTATTGCTCATCCTAATTATCAACCTTTACAAATAATTCAGCTTCAACTCAAATACATCTAAAAGTAAGAACGCAAACTGATACTATGACTCGGGATAGATATTTTAACTTTAATGATTACATTAATATTAGCAAAAAATACAATTGTGCAATACAAACCTTCTATACAACATACCGTGTAATATAACCACCAGTTGGACCCATGCCGTTTTGATCCACAATTATTCGAGGTCCGTCCCCACCCCGCATATCCTCATCCTTTAGTTGTTTGGTATAATCATCTTTCTTTTTAACTCTAAAGGACATTATAATGAGCAAATCATAGCTTACTTATAAAGTCATTAAAACTGGATGTACATGTGCAAGATAGAGGCTACTACTAATACAGAATAAAATGTTGCTCTATACTAGCTCTTAATTTTAATACGCAAGGATGAGACATTGAATTTTCACAATTGCTTTGAGTGTTAAAAGTATCTTCTGGAAGGTTATTTAACTTAACTCAATAAAGTTAGAAAATATTATGCTTACACTTGCTCAATTATTATTTTTCACCAAATTTGTTGACGAACAAAATTAAAGTTTTAATAAAACTGTTAATGTGGATTTTATCACATACATAGTGGATAATGATAACCTATAATTTAAATGAGTCGTACAAAACTTGAAAGAATGAAATAACTATGACTGACTACGTTGAGATATAAAAATTTTCATACAAATGGTACAGAATAATGGTTATATACATAGTCGAGAATTGTCTGTCTCAGAAATTAACGGAAATTAACTAGATCATGTAATTCTACAAATTAATGTCACACAACCAAGTGAATAACTGAACCCCAACATCTACTGTTTTGTATTATTCGATTTGATTACAACTTAAAACCAGTCTTGAGGAACGTCACGTAGAACTTTGACTGTATCTATTTTATTTACAATAACACATCCAATGGATTTCTACCGCATTACAATAAATAATGCTCGTAGTACAATCTTATTTCTTCTTGTTTTTATATTAACTAAAGGTATTCCAAAAAATAACAATTTCATTAACCGGTCCTTCACTTACATAATTTAGCTCAATTTGATAGTCAATTTTTGCCTTTGTCAAGCTAAGATTTCATCAAACCTATGACGCCCTGAAACATGGGTATTTACGAATAAATTTATGTAGCTAGTTCCATGATCACCATTTATCGCCTTAATTGCATTTTCTAACCAGTGAATAAACTGCTCATCAACTGAGTTTAAACGAGGGAAAAATTTGTCAATTAGTCTTCTACATATTGCCATTAAACCTTAGGAATGTGTACAGCAGCAATCATAACATTTGGTAAGTAATCACAATAAAATACTAACAGACTTACTTATTCCAAGGCAACACGCAAAGTCCGCAGCATTTGTTTAGATCATCCAGATTCTTCTCAGCATCCTTCATGTCTTGATTAATCTGATCCATACCCTCATTTATGCGATCCAATTGTTCTGAAAATTTCGAAAAAACTTTCTATGAGTTTATAGTATATTTGTAAGCAAAACGTAAGGCAGTTGGGTATCGACACTTAAATACAGGTAAAAAGAAAATCTGAACATCAAAAAAATAATACAGAGATAACGAAAACAATGAATCCGAGTCTAAAGATATAATTGTAGTCTATCATATATGTATGGTGTAGTTTACAATCTTTTTACTAATAATACACAGCAGGTTCTCTTGGACGAGACACAACACTTTGTCTAAACCACCTATCCATTAAAATACATTCACGATATAGTTAACATCCAACTTAGACAACAGCTTTACAACATGAAATGTACAAATTGTGTCACAACATATATGTGTAGCCTTACCGCCTTGATCATCTAACATGACCAGTGTAGAAATCCCTGCCTCTTTGGCCTAAATATTACATAAACATTTAGCATATCATTTTCTCAACTTTGATCAATTATTATCATAGGTGTAAAAAGACTCACCTCCTCACATAAAGCCATCATCCGTCGAGAGGCTTCCAGTGACTAAAATGTGCAAAAAATAAGACGAATAACAAGAGTTGGAAAGAGACCTGACAAACTAATTGAAAAACATTAGAATGTGGAAATTAGTATAATAATTACACCATATTATAACTTTTTTTCTCTCAAAAATGCTTGTATAAACATTTGAAGGGAATATTAAATTACATGAAATAATTAGTGCTTGATCACAACAAAACTATGTAAAATTTAATTCTACAACTACATCACTTGTGACGATTTTTAAATAAGACTAACCACGGATCTATATAAACTGAAGAACACTTGATGAAAACTATTTTGTTAGGTTCCTTATACATATTTTTGGCAACAATGGGGTAACAAGCAACAACAAAGTTCAACCGTGAAAAAGAATGGGACACCTACATCCGAGGTTGTTTCATCAATCTTCCTTTGAAGAAGTTCTACTTCTGTCATGGGTCTGATAGTTCCATCGTCTAACTGCACCTCATCATATCCACAAACAGGATGGCGAGATTTTTGCGGCATTTCACAGTTAGTACACCCAAGTTGAATAAGGAAAAACGCTAGTTTAATATGAATAGTTACATAATTTGGGGTGGAAATATTAGGCGTTAATTGCAATGCAGAAATATAAAGTGTCGAGAAATTCCACAATCCATTAAGGACAGGGCACAATTATTCCCAAATCAACCATTATTTTCATTAAATATTAAGAAACTAAACTATGGGAGACTAATCATAACATTTTAAATGTGTTTGGCCACAAGCAAACTTGGTTATGATTGGATGGGTAAACGATCTACGAATAACAGACATATAGGAAGACAGACAACCACATTTTTAGTTTGAAAATCTATACTACTACCAAAAGCAACAGTATGATATTTAAAGGACACTAAATTTCAAATGAAAGTCAGGCTACAAACGCCGGCACAAACTAAATAGCTCTTCAAAAGCATAAAACCTTTAGTAACAAAAATGCCGGTGACAATTTTGTAGAAGTAGTCAGTACCTCCGTAGTATCAAAAACCTTGTTTAGAAACTAACATGAAGAAATAATGTTTATATCTGGATCGAAATGAGTTAGTAGGCCACAAGAAAGGAGAAACTACATAACTCGTAAGAAAACATTCAGAACCCAAATGGCGAAAAGCAAAACAATCTAAAGATGGATATGATGTATTGTGATACTCATAGTGCTTGACACCAATAACAGGCCAAACGATGGGCAGTTACATTGAAGTTGTTATTCGTAATCAAATAAAATGATGAAACTATTTAACGGCTGGTAGAATCAATGTGCGCAGCAAGCAGCCATGATTTTGGGGACGGTTTTAGTTTGGAAACAATGGCTGGAAAGATTACAAAACCTCTGCTTAAACTTAAAAAACGTGTTGCGCAAGATATTGATACATTTGACAACAAAAACCAGTGGGAAGAAATGAACTTAATTCTGTCTGACGCAAGTCTCGGAATGCCAGTAGTACTCATTCTGTCCAGTCAGTATTTTCGTGTATTTAGAGTTGTCCATATGCTGATAGCAGTGTAATCGACGAGACCAACTATTTATAGGAGACCGGATTGTTGTAAATTAATATGGATTACCTTTAAAGTCGTCACGACATCAGCCTGCTACAACCACATGGAAACACTCCTAACTGACGATACTAGATGGCTCATGACCGATAACATCTAGAGAACTGACTATATCTGTTACGAAAACTGTGGTTCAGGGGTTCAACGTAAATCCGGTCATAGTGGCTGGCATAACGACTCAATCCGACAATAACTATACCCCCAGAGAAAGTAGTCTTGCACTACATTCCTAAATCACCAATTGAACAACCCTCCATATTTGGTAGTGCATCTCGCGTTAGTGAAGACTTACTAGTTTGCTACGTAGCGTTTAGAATGTATCATCTCTCTAGTCTGTCTTGAACTAGTAAGACGCTTCTATAGGATTCAGAATTGATGGCTGAGATCGCGTTCTGCACTTCATGTTAAACTCCAAAGCAATATAATATTAAAAACCGCAGAGGGGTACAAATGTTTGCGACAAAGTTCTATCTTGATATTTGTTTTACGAACTACACTATAAGCTTATTTGAAGTAGAACAACAAAGGCGTATTTACGTCCTTGTGTTTACGGTACATTGTCAAATCGTGAGCAATATATCTGGGGCATGTGCATTCATTTTGAATGTCACAATAAGTCATCACAACAATTACCAAGATTAAATGCAAAGAAGAGGATTAACAATGGTCCGTCAGGATTAGAATTTCGACATGTTGGTTTGGTTAAAAGCCCGAGCTGGTAACTAGACCACACAAGTTCGAAGTAACTATGACTTTACACTACCTGAGAGCCTAAACAGTAAGTGGGCAGTCTATTACCCTAAAGCTGGAAATAAATTTCCGGGAATATGTCATTACAGCATGCACGTAAACTAGATATTTAGAGTGAACATCATGATGATCTGACCTATCTAACTTAAACGAAAAACCAGGAGCCTTGTTTTCTATAAAACACACAAGTTCATGGAAAACAAAGACTGATTAGATATAGGTTACATCTCACTTATATATCACCTCAAATATAATACCTTGATTGAGCATCCAGTCCGTCTCACATTTTGACTGCACATATCAGACAATTATAAGCAAAGGCTAAGACTATTGAAGACTGGTGCAGAACACGAGCTCATACAAGCAACTTGTATCTTTAAGAAGTCTTTTTTGGCTTTTTTCTAAAACTAATCTACGGAGCTATCACCATATTCGAAATACACGATCGAATAACCACAAAATTTATGTTGTGGTTAGCAAGTGCCAAGCATCACCCTAAAAAGTAGCCCTACTTTTATTTACTAGACATTCCAAGGAAAATGTAGAGCTTGTTAGCGAACATTGGAAAGACAGCCTATGACCACAGAATCCAATACTAAAGAAATGAACAAAGAGACTCCTTAAGAGTTATGTAGTCAAAATGCTCTGTGAAAGAACAGACCTCGTCAGTCGTTTGATTCATCTTGAACTTAATCTGCTCATACTCGGTCATAGGAACCTGGGATTCGTCCATCATCGAACTCATCAGTATTCCCCAGAGATCGCGCCAATTAGCTCAAATCGACGAGTATAAACAATCAAAATTCAAATGTAAGTGTAAACTGGCTGAACTATCCGTTGAACATTTAATGTGACCGAGTGTAATAACATCTTTAGTAAGACGTGAACCAGCTGCTCATTCTGCGATTTAATTCTAGTCTTCAATCTTCAGTAAAAGGATAGAAAATCTATCGACCTAAATTAGTCCTTACAGTTTGTAACACTGTGGAGGTTCAATCTCGTTTTGGACATAAGAGGTGTTGATACTTCGTGTTGCGGTAGGCAATTCTAGTAATTCACTAGTCGGTGTGAGAAACGAAAATCTAGAGGTAGATTATTTTATCTCGGTTTTTGAACTTTCTTCGAATGTTCTCTCAAATGATCAGTCCTAGACGTAAGGAAAATCTAAGACATATTAATACTAAAGTCATCGTTCAGTCTACGATATGCCAATACTAGATGGCCCCGTGTTATACGGCAAGGTGAGGTGTCTCCGTCTGTCTTCATAAGATGGGCCAGAGAGACCTTTTACCATTTTAGTCCCACGTTGTTGGACTCGTTCCAGAATATCCGCCTCATACTTGAAACAAGGACTCGCTGCTTGAATCCCATATTCCGAATGCCATCTCACAACAGTCGGGTATAATAATCCAAACATTTCTTCGTACAAGTATTAAAAAGACCTACGCATAGCCCACAATACCTCACAATCTTTTGCTGCTGCAGCATTACAGTTACTCCTAGTTGTGATATAGCTGTATATTATAACTCCTTAGTCTTTATAGTCCATTACTTTCGATAACACGAATCTACGTGTTTTGTAGTAACATGAATAGTCATAGCTAGTTAATTGCATCACCACCTTCCTACTAGAATTCACTTCTAGTGACCTTTCGTCCATCCATACCACCAAGGAGTGGAGAACATCTTGTAATACCATTCTATCCGACATTCAGTGTATGTGTCTCCAAATCTTCATGTCATCAACGAAGAGTAGAACGGATGATTTTGCTACACTTGGTAATTCATTTACATAAAGTAAAATGAGAAGAAGACCAAGATTTGTATCTTAGGGAACTCCACTTTTTACAGCTTCCCACGATAAGAGAGCTTCATTTACACCTACCCTTTGCCTCCTGTCATGAAGAACGTCACTTATCCAGTCTATAACTGCATAATGGTTTCCAAAACTTTTCAGTTTTAATTTAAGACCAGAATGCGAGATCTTATCGAAGGCTTTATTTAGATCTATGAAAATCACATCTACAGGAATATTTTGATCTTTTGCCGCAGTACAGTCACTTGCAGTGAGCAGATTTGTCAAACATGATAGGTCTTTGCGAAAATCACGTTGATCCATGGGTAAAAGATTTTACCCTTCCACGTAGTTTATAATGGAAATCCGAAAAATCCTTTCCATTAGTTTTGCAACTGCGCTGGTTAGACTAACGGGTCGATAGTTACTAACTACGCCTCTACTCCCCGCCTTATAAACTGGATTAATTATTGAGTCTTTCCAGTCTCGTGGCAGTCCGGAATGCTGCAGAAACATATCAGACAGTATGGTTATAGGTTAGGCAATTACATCTGATATGGCTTTCATAATCCTAAGATGAATATCATCAGGACCACAGGACTTGTCAGATATGAAATGCTGAAGTAGTTTTAAGACATTACCTTTCTCAGTAACTACCGCGTCCACAAACAAGCCGCCACAACCACAATTAATCATTGATCGTTCCACGTTGCTGATAGAAAACACTTTACTGAAATATTTCGATCAACCTACAGCATTTTCGGGACCATCTCTTGCCAATACAAGCGATTTTCTTGTACCAAAACTGACGGAATTCCATCACTTTTGCGGTTCCTCTATCGATTCATGGAGAGCAGTGTGGTAGCTTACATGTTGACCATGGAATAGATGGTATTGTTTCGGTCTCCATTGTAACGTTAAGGTTATTCCATTTACCTTCGAACACTCCACTAACATAGACCAATTAATCTGTTGGGATACCACAATCTCTGTTTGACGGGAAATTAGTATGACAGATAGACATTGGACATTATGTGTCCGGAACTAAAAGTACATTACATGATCAATGTTAGCTAGCGGGATTAGATACTAATTTTCAGTGACGTCATCACAGTGGTGTGTGAAGACATGGTCTAACCATAATTATTTACGTTCTAAGGATAGTACTCCGCTGTCAGAACTTCTGTATGATCTACGTACACATTGTTGCGATTCATTCTTTTCGATTCTGCCAGATGTATATTTCGCTGATCGTTTGGTTTCATTTGAGATGGCATCATACTTGATCGTAGTTCTCGTTTTATCTTATGCTTCCACTGAATTTCTACGTTTTCCCCCAACTATATCTATATGATTTTATTTGATAGTTTGGCGACAGTGACTGCCATATTGATCCGCTCCCGATTATGGTTGTGCTGCTTGAACTGGCTGTAAATATACATTGGTGATTGCTAGTTGAAGCGTGCCTTCAGATCCGGAAAAATTCAGTGCTGTAACAAAATTATATATTACCTTTCAAACAATCTGTGCGTAATCTATCAAGAAAGAAT